GTTTCCCCAAGAATAAATAGTTGACAATATCTAAGGCTTGAAAAACACTTACACAAAGGTTTATAAAAGTTTTCCATAATCTCACTAATTCTCTAGTGTGGAACCTCAAATTTTGAAAAGTATATACCTTGAATAAAACATATGTCACATTGTTCTCAGCAGAAATACTTTTCTCATAAAAAATTACTAAATGGTTTCTCTGACCTGAAATGAAGTCAAATAATTTTGTCGTACATTACATTTGTTAAGATTTTCATGTGTATGTATTCTCTCTTACATTCTAACAGACAGACCAAAAGTAAAGGATTCACACCTTCAATACATTTCTAAGGTGTTTCTCCTGTAAGGATTCCATAATGAATTTTAAGATATTTCTTTGTAGAGAATTGTCTCATTCACTTCATTTCTGAATTTTCTTAATTGTATGAAATCTCTGATAATTTCCCAGAATTATATTATGGGTAATAAATTTGTCACATTCAATACATTTGTAAGGTTTCTCTCCCATATCAATTCTTTGATGAATACTAAGATGGGATTTTCAGGCAAACCATTTTTCTTATTCATGGGATTTGTATGGTATTTCTCTTGTATGTACTCAATGATAAAAATGAAGATTGAATTTTTTAGTAAAGCACTTGTCACATTCACTATATTTTCATGGTTTCTCTCCTGTATGAATTCTCTGATGCCTTCTCAAACTAAACTTCCTGGTAAAGCATTTGTAACATTTACTGCATTTGTAAGGTTTCTCTCCTGTATGAATTCGCTGGTGAATACTAAGACGGGATTGTCTGGTAAAGCATTTGGCACATTCACTACATTTGTAAGGTTTCTCTCCTGTATGAATTCTCTGATGCCTTCTCAAACTAAACTTCTTGGTAAAGCATTTGTCACATTTACTGCATCTGTAAGGTTTCCCTCCTGTATGAATTCTCTGATGAATATTACGATGGGATTGTCTGTAAAAGCATTTGTCACATTCACTACATTTGTAAGGTTTCTCTCCCGTATGAATTTTCTGATGAACACTCAGATTCACTTTTTCAGTAAAGCATTTCTCACATTCACTGCATTTGTAAGGTTTCTCTCCTGTATGAATTCTCTGATGAATACTAAGACGGGATTGTCTGGTAAAGCATTTGCCACATTCACTACATTTGTAAGGTTTCTCTCCTGTATGAATTCTCTGATGCCTTCTCAAACTAAACTTCTTGGTAAAGCATTTGTCACATTTACTGCATCTGTAAGGTTTCTCTCCTGTATGAATTCTCTGATGAATACTAAGATGGGATTGTCTGGAAAAGCATTTGTCACATTCACTACATTTGTAAGGTTTCTCTCCTGTATGAATTCTTTGATGAATACTAAGATGGGATTGTCTGGAAAAGCATTTGCCACATTCACTACATTTGTAAGGTTTCTCTCCTGTATGAATTCTTTGATGAACACTCAGATTACTTTTGTCAGTAAAGAATTTGTCACATTCACTGCATTTGTAATGTTTCTCTCCTGTATGAATTCTCTGATGAATACTAAGATGGGATTGTCTGGAAAAACATTTGTCACATTCACTGCATTTGTAAGGTTTCTCTCCTGTATGAATTCTCTCATGAATACTAAGACTGGAGTTTTGGGTAAAGCATTTGCCACATTTACTACATTTGTGAGGTTTCTTTCCTGAATAAATTCTCTGCTGACTTTGAAGATTGTTTCTCTGTATAAAGCGTTTGTCTAATTCACTGTACTTGTAAGTGTTCACATCTGTCTTGTTTTGCTTCAGCTCAAGTTTATGTTTAGAAACAGAAACCTTATCAAATTCTGTATTTATATTATCTTCTTTCTTCTCTTCATGGATTCCTTGATTGAGTCTCATGATAGAACACACATTTAGACAGTTTACACAGTCTTTATATTTGCAAACTTCTTTAGTGTTGTCAGTTTTATGTCTTTTTAGGTTTGAGGATTGAAGAGAAGCATCACTGTGGATAGTTTTATATGGTGTACTTTTGGTCGATTCATGAAAAATATTGCTAAGCTCATTATACTTAAAAGACTTCTCTTGGATATACACATCCTCATGGATAATGTGATGTGTGTCTTGAATCGAGTCCTTTCCATACTTTCCACATATAGCATGATTTTCTGAAAAAAGGTCAATTCGGGATGACAAGGGTTATTTAAATGAATAGTAAGTGATTCAACTATCA